GAATGTCCTTTTTTCCATTAAAGGTTTATGTGTGTGTGTGTGTGTGTGTGTGTGTGTGTGTGTGCAGGCACGTGCACACACACACACACACACACAGAGCTTTGCCAGGTAAGTTATTCATGATTGTGAGCCCATATCTTTTGCACTTCAAACTACTGTATTCCAGGATCTCCTTTCATTCACTGTAGATACTGCCAGTTTTTCTGCCAAAGCAGCACAATACTTACTGTGATTCCTTGGTATTCAAACTACTTTTTTCTGGGATTGCAGTATTTTTTCTTTGACATGAGGCCTCTGGACTTTGGCCTTTATGTTGCTAGTTCTTTTTTTTTTTTTAAGGTGAAAAGAATCAGCAAATTCTTTGTATCTTCACTTCGCTCTTTGTTTCTAATAGTTTTCATTTGTGTATAGGTTTTTTAAATTGCTTTCAGAAGTCCAGTAGTTTTAAAATTATTTCTTCTTGATCTATTTTCTAGGCTAATTTTTAAAAATATCAGATATTTTATATTTTTGTTCTTTATAATCTTTTGATTTTGTGCAAGGACTTCTTACTATGTAATGCAGTTGATTTTTTTTTTAATTTTGATTTAAGAGTCTCAACATCTACAATAATTTGTTTATATTGGTTGGTGTTTTCTTGAATTTACAAATTTTTTGCTTTAGCTTCTAAATTGAGATTTTGGTTTGTTTGTTTGTTTTTTTTTTATCAGAATGGGGATCCACTCCCTATTGAACTTTGGTCCTATTGGTCTCACCCTGGGTTCCCTGGGGTTTTGGATTAACTTCCACCTCCCAAGGTTAGACCCTTCTGGATCTTTGATGTTCAGAGCATTGGGTCTTTCTTCTACAGCATCTTAATACAAATGGCCAGGGACTTCATATCCCCTGGGAACCTGGGCAGTTCTTGATTGAGTGCTGCCATGTGGCTCTGATTGCTGTCTGGGCTTTCTCTGGGGTCCCTCTGTTTTTGCTTCCTGTAGTCACAGAGGCTTACAGAGTCTTTGCTGTGACACCCTTTCTTTTTGCTCAATAGCTTCTGGCTAACTTTTTGTGCAGTTTTGGGTTAGAAGAAGTCATATACTCTAGTTTCTCAATAGAATATCTTACTCATTATTCGATCTGATGTGAATTTCAACTTTCTCCTGGAGTTGGTATGTGGCAGTCACATCATCTGTCTTCACTCAGGCAACCATATCAGCCAGAAGTTCCCATTGTCTATTGAAAGACCTTGGAAGAACACGAGGAAAAACTAATCAAAGTGTCTGGTTGGCTAGAGGAAGCTGGTCTGAAACTGTCAATTAGCAAATGCTAGTTTGGCAAAGCCTCTGTCTGGTATATGCATCAGTGTCTTAATAGGGAGTGAGTACAGATCCAGAGAAGGGCTTACTATGAACTATGTTTTTTGAGGGTATAATTGCTAGAAAAAAAAATTAGAAGAATTTTGCTATCTTTGCTATGACACTCAATTTCACTTGTCCACATGTAGTTGGGAAGAACCAATGGCAGAAAGGCAAGAAAGATCAAATTGGCTTGACCCTTTCAGTACCATTTGGAGATCACTGGGGTTAGGAGGATGAACAAACTTCCAAAGATTTTGTTAACTGCTTCACTCATGAACCAATGTTGACCCATGTGGACCTGAGCAAACCCTTTGTCCTATATAGGCATAACTAGCCCAAAATACTTGGGAACAATCTTATACTTGAAGCATGAATGTAATCAGGAACCTACACAATTTTCTAATGGAGGATTTATGGACAATAAGACTCAATATAATAGAATAAAAGCTAGAGTCCTTGGCTTTGAATTGGGTTATTAATGAGAAGTTCAAAGACTACACATATGAAGCCAGATTTAAAGTAAGGACAGACAACTACCCATTGACCTACATTTTGACCAGTGCCAAGCTTGATATGATCTGCCAGGAATGTGTAGCAGCATTAGCCAATGAAGAGTTCAATATATTCATCCCATATGAAGTCGTTTAAAGACTTGGCAATGTGCCAATTAAGATAGTAAGGAGAGTACTCAGAGACTTTCAAAGACAATATAATCACCTTGTTTGTTGGGGAGTTAATCGATCTCTCCTGACCCATAGCGAGCATTTGACATGCATGTCATGCATGTTATATATGAAATACATAAAACTTAGGTTAATTTAGACTTGAATGCAATGGAAATTAAAAGATGATTTAATGTTTTCTTGTTATAGGGAAGTGACAAATCTACTTTAAGCTTAATATCATACCTACTGTAGCCTTAATATCATACCTACTCTAAGTCAGTTTAAATACAGAGGGAATTTAAGGAAGAGATTCAGAAAGTGAACAAGCAAGACTTGATCATATGGAAGAATGAAGAGAAAGCAAGGTGGATTAAAATAATTTATCCTAAAATGGGGGACACAAATGAATCTTAAAGAAGGTGAGAAGAGTGAGTGATTCCCATAACATCCTTGACTGTGAGAGAAAAGAAAAAAATTATACCAGTAGAAGTGGAGTCCCAGGATCTCTCTGTCTCTGCTGTTGACAGGAAAAGTAATGGGGGTTGTGATTAAGATGTATAATATTATATGTTTTATTATTATAGGGTCCTCACAATATGATCCCTTCCTCCACAAAATGTATGCTATAATTCAAATACTCATTAGGTCAGCACCTATTCAAATCCACATAATGTGCTGCTCTAACAGATAAAATCAGATTATACATTAATTCAAAGCAAAAATTAATTATATAAAATAGAATAACAAAGTAAATACTAAGTAAGATTTTCCCTGCCTCACAACACCCAATGTATACAAGGTACACGTCAAAAATGAGAAAGGAGGGGGCAGTTAGGTGGTGCAGTGGATAGAGCACCGGCCCTGGATTCAGGAGGACCTGAGTTCAAATCTGGCCTCAGACACATAACACCTCCTAGCTGTGTGACCCTGGGCAAGTCACTTAACCCCATTGCCTAGCCAGAGAGAGAGAGAGAGAGTAGACTCTCCTTCCCAGACAATTCATGCTCTCATTCACATCCTAGCTGGAACACCTTTCAGCCTTCAAAGGATGCTAAGTTGTTTTGTCACTGAGCTACCAAGGCTAGATAGCTTTTCCCTGACAAGGAGGGCAAAATGATGTTCTACTATTTGAAGCTATCCCATACCTCAGGCTATTTTAGGTCTCATGAGAGGCAGCAACATGGTACAGTGGATAAATCACTGGACTTGGAGTCAGGAAGACTTTGAATTTGAATCCTGCCATAGCAATATGACCCTAAGCAAGTCACTTAACCTTTCTCAGCCTCTCTTTTGTAAAATGAGGGTACTAAATGGCACTTGCCTTAGAGTTGTGCAGATCGAATGAAATACATTTAAAATGCTTTCCAAGTCTTACAGCACTATATGTATGTATGTATGTATTTTATATATATATGAATTTGAGCCCACTTAATGGTATACATACATACACGTATGTATATATGTATACTCACACTAGCTGCTATTATTATGTGAATTAGGACCACAGCCTTATATACCCAATACGTACAGCAAAAAGTCCCTTAAAGTAAAATCTATCTTTTCTTAAAAAAACAAACTTTGAATGGAAACTCCTGTTTAGTCACCTCACATTTGAGTTAGAGTGAGTAATTTCCTTCTCTTTCTATCATGCCTATGCCATTTTCACCATCATCAGACAAATTTATTCTACAGCTTCACTAAGTACCCCTGGAAGAGTGGGGTGAAGCTGTACACATTTACTCTGAACTGCTGTGGGAGCGCTCGTTTCACTCCACGTCCTTGTACTTACAACGTACAATAAGTTTTATCTATTAGCAGGTGAGGATTTACTAACTGCATAATCATTTGGTATTTCCTGGTACCAGATAAGAAATAGAAAAGTTAATCAATTGAAGAGATTAGATAAACAAGACCTATTGGGAAAAGCATACAGCAGTCTAATCTTTGATTAATTCAAGAAGACAAAGTATTGGGGGGGAGCTACTGGAAAAACAGGATAAAATGACAAAGAATGTGTTTATACCATCACTTAAACCATACACCACAATACATTCTAAATGTATAAACAATCTAAATAGAAAAAAAAATGCATCATTAATAAGGTGAACCCAGAAAATTTTATTTTTGGGACTGTGAATAAGAGATTAATTTATAGCCAGTCACTAGACAATCCACTGTCACTTCTAAGTCTGGGATTTTATGATTAACTTTTCATTTTAAAATTATGATACATGCAATAAAAAAAAAAAGAAAAGAAAAACATAAACAACATAATGTTCCCCTCATGATACAGAAAAAAGATGAAGTTAGTGTTTGAAGCCTTCAGTATTCAAGTCATCAGCTAAACTCAAGAGCTTATCATCATAAGTAGCCTATGAAAACAAATAGATTGGAAATAATGCTAATGAACAGAAATTTATTTTTATTGACATAGATTTTTGTGAAAATTATTTCATCATAATGGCAAATAATCAGTTGAGTGATGTTTAAAATCAAAATTCTGTGTCAAATGTTTAATTTCACTCACTTCTTTTATAAGAAAACAAGGCATGACAAGTTTTTACTTCACTGATATGATTACTCATCATTATCTATGACAATTTATTTGCTGCCCTTCCTAGCCAATTGATGTATATGAAGTAATGGTTCAATATGACTTTTGATTAAATCATTAATAAAATGTGTATGGGAATACACCATAGAAAACTTCCAAATTTCATCTGAAAGAGCTATATTTTAATGTTATAAAAGAGTTAGTTGATTTTTCTCTTCAACTACCCATTTAAAGTGATACTTTCAAAAAAAAATAAACATCTACTGTGCCTTCCCCTGTCTTCTGATTGCTTATCAGAAAGATAACACCCACATAGACGTAATCTTCAAGTGTACAACTGAACCAGAGAAAATCTGGAATTAATTATTAAGTGTTTTTGGTTCCTAATGCAGCTGTTACAAGTGTTTGATTTGGCAAATGATCATAAAAGGCAATGCATACCAATTTCATGAGCAACTGTAAAAGCTGCATGGAGACCATCATCCTCGATCACTGCACAGCTGCGCTCAGGAGAACATATGGTCCCAACATCTGCCATTCCAAGAGTATCACATGAATGATGTCCACATAAATCCTACAAGGGAGAAAAAAAGAAATCATCAAAATCAATTTACATGCAGGAAAAGCCACTATGAATAGTCACTTGCTCTCCCAAACAGCAAGAATTTGGATAAATGTATATGTCACCTGTTCCTCCATGGCAGTCTTCCAAGAATGATCTGAGAGTATCAGGCTTTCAGAACTATTCTGGGCTACTGAAGCGCAGAAGTTGTATAATGAGGTTCAATTATATTTAGAAAGGCACCTTAAGCTCTATTTTTCATTTTACAATAGTAGCATTAGTAAAGCCATAATACATGTATTCTTTAACATACAGAATAGTTAGATTTCATTTTGGAAAGGCCTCTATATTCAATTTTGTATTTAACCTGATGAATTTGTCAAAGGATTCATCACTACAGGTACAAATTACAATATATCTTGGAATGTAAATATTCTAGTAAGTTAGAAAAAAAAATCCAACCTTATCTATTCTAAATTTGCATCTATAAAGAACAATTCAATGAATGACCATTTCTAAAGGAAGTTGTAATTTTATAGGGAATTATTAAGTGGGTGATGTTTGTAAATTAACAAAATGCTCTTTCATTCAGTCAAAATATCAGTTTAAAAAATCTTGGCTCTATAGGAAAAAACACAAGAAAAACTATTGAAATATGAATTTTAAGAGAAAAGAAATATTAGAAATCAATAGTAGCAGCAGAGACGGTCAGTTTTGTAAATACATAAGGTTCTAAATTACAATCATATTAATCTGATGATTCTAAAATAATCTACTTTTAGCTGCCAGATTTTTATTTTTAATGAGAATCTTTTTTTTTAAAATAATTTTACTATTTTAAAGTGTCAGTGGAAAAGTATGGCTTTGGAATCAGATCTTGGTTCTGCTGCTCGTTTGCCCTTGGACGAGTCATTTAATCCTTTCTCTAAATTTCTTCAACTGATAAAAATGGTGATTGAACTGGGTGACCTTTAAGATCCCTTCCAGTATTATAAACCTAGAATATTAAATTATACAGTAGTATTTTAAGTGATCTTTAAAATATTTATGAATTACATTATAAAGGTAACATTGCTTAAATATTACCATATGCTTTTTTTTTTTACTGATGTCAATATGGAAAATATTGTCAATAAGGGAAACTATTTACACTAAAAGAAGGCCTCCTTTAAAAAATTTAAAACCTGGGAAATTTAAACATAAAAGCAAAGATGATTACCATTTATGGAGAACATATAACACTGTGCCTGACACACAATAGGCACTTAATATTGAACCTGAAAGACCAGGGGACTGGTCTGATTCAGACTCAGACCAGAGCAATTTCATAACTGCAAATTTTTTGAGGTCTTCAGACATGTTTTTAGAACATCAAAATCCAAAGTTATATTCTATCTCTCCTCTACAAGATTACAAGCTACTTGAAGGCAACCGTACCTTATTACTTTTGTACTCAGGACTGAGTCTAGTGCTGTATACACAGCAGTTGCTTAATAAATGTTAGTTGAACTGAATTCAGTTAATATGGTATTCTGAAATAATAATGAGGCAACATTGTATAGTGGACAAATAGAGCACTAGTTTGGAAATCAGAAAGCCTATGTTCTGGTGCTGAGTCTGCCACAAATTAGTTGTATGACCTTAAACATGTCATTTTACTTCTCTTACCCTCAGTTTCTCCACATATAAAATAAAGGGACTAGATTACATTATGCCTAAGGTCCCCTACAGCTCTAATTTTTTTGTTGTTTTGGCTAATATTGTCCATGTGCTGTATATGGTATAGACTTCCTCTCCAAATATTCCCAGGTTCACTTTCTTCTTCAGCTGTGGGTTTCTCACTCACCTGACTTACACTCAATACAGACGTTAGGGGGATTTCCAGTAGGGATAGCCATGTAGCTACTACTCTCTCTGGGTCCTCAGAGTAACCCCTGTGAGTTGTTTTTGTTCTTTTCTCGATCTTCATCTTCTCAGCAACGAGTCAACATAGAGAGCAGAGAACATTTTCTCTATTCTTTCTTCAGGTGGAAGTAGAAAACCCTCTAGCCTCTCATTGGCCAAACTGCCCAACAAGTGACAGGGCAGAGAAAGAGTTACATTTTCCCTTTAACAAAGAGTTTTTAAATCCGTCCTTTCACCTCCAACAAATAATCTGCAGCTGGGTCCTCTTTGCAACCTCACCTTAGCAACCAACCGTATCTTCATAGTCTGTTTTTGATCAGATACATTACATTTGTCCCATAATCGTGGAGATGTTTGTGTCCATATTTCTTCAGGTATTATCCTGAAAGTTCTCTAATTTTTTATATGCAAATCATTTGAGAAGACTACACACTCCATTCACTCGAATGTTCTACAGCTCATCACATGTAAATTGCTATATCAATACTCGGAGTCAGACAACTTAGTAATTACTTCTCCAGAATGTTAAATACTTAAGCCCCAAACAAGTAAATTGTCAAGGATCATTTCCTTACACTAAAATCACTGAGTAGTCCATTTTAAAAAGTTAGGTATCATGAAAATATAATTGTTCTGATGCACTCCCTAAAATTTAATAACAGCTCATTATTTTAGAATGTTTGACATCACTTCCCCCCACAAAATAATTTAACCCTATATGTTGGTGATGGTGTGAAGGATAACTAGTTAAGGTTAACAACTCTTGTATAAGGTTATGAAAATAAACATAAACCAATTTTTTAAAGTACCAAAGTATTCTGAATTATTTAGTTAAACAACTGGTTAGCAATTAGTCACAACATTGCAAATTACCGGTTTTTAACTGTTGATCAGCCTCATTTTATAACCACATCAATCTTGTTTTATAACCTGTTTAAACCAAATCATATGTGTAGAAAGAATTCCAACCTTATGAAGGCCCTATTCAGTACAGAGTTCATTTAAATCAGTGTTACATAGTACAGTCATTCTAGAGGCAACAAAGATATCACTACATTTACTTATCTAATAAAGATAAGTGTTGTACAAGCTTTAAGGTGCCAAACAAATGTGTTATTGTAATTGTTATTATTACTCTTGGACCCGAAATTTCATCAGTATAAGGAAATTCAATTAAGATGTACAACTGTTTTTCAATTTATAATCAAAGAATAAACTTACAGTATAAAATATTTCTACATGCAGACAAATATAGTTCAGCATCAAAATCTAATTGATAATATTAAAAACAGTATGAAATTATTCTATTTTCCTTCTTGCTTTCATCTTTAAAAAAAAGTACTAACTTGCAAAGCTTCATAAAAATAAAATGTTAAATATTTATAAACAATGTAGAAATAATTAGAATTGCAAGCTTGTGTTAAAGAGTTTCTAGGGAACACTGAGCGTTTAAATGATTTTTTTTCCCGCAGGTCCAAAAGCTAGTATCAGAGTTTTTAAATCCCATCTCCAGTTTGTTATCCCTTCTGCCATGCTACATTTCAGTAATAATATTCCTGACGATAACCACTGAAGGAGAACAAGATGTGTTGACATCTCATTCTCTCACACATACCCTATCAACAGACAGAATTGGAGACCTGCTATGACTTCTGTTCACATTCCAGCTTTCTCTGATTCCTCTTCATTATATCATCAGGAATAGAGATGGACTTTTCTGGTCCTTATAGAACATTCTCCATAAACTTCCTACTTGATTCAGGGTTTTTGCTCTGAGCCTGACTTTCCAGTGTGCTAAACTGCTTGTTATAAGGTTTATATAAGAGGATAGTGGATAGAGTCAGCCTTGGAGTCAGGAAGACCTGTATTCAAGTCCTGATTCTGGCATATTAGTTCTGTGATTATAAGCACATTGCTTATCCTCTCAGTGCACCAGGCAACTCTTTAAAGCTCTAAGTTTACAGACAACCTAATGATCAATGGAGAGGTTCTATATGGGGACTTTGGAATACTAATGAAATAACAGATTTGGACTCCTCAATAAAGTTTAAATTAATTTTTAAAAAATTAGTCCCTCAAATTCTGATTCTATTGGATGTAGTTTAAACCAATCAAAATTATGTAGCATAGGTCTAAGAATTATAAAAAGATTGCAACATTTATTCTAGCTGCCACAATAATACTGGAGCTGCCTCTGAGTTTTTAGATGGGTATGCATTTTTAGATGCAACAAGTATATCCATCAGAAAAATTTTAGGCAGAACTAATAGTTGTCTTAAAAATCCTGATGGATAAAACCACATTGAAATTATGAAATACTTGGGGCAGCTAGATGGTGCAATGCATAGAGCATTAGCCCTGGATTCTTGAAGACCTGAGTTCAAATGTGATCTCAGACATTTGACAATTACTAGCTATGTGACCCTGGGCAAATCACTTCACTCCATTGCCTCACCAAAAATATATATATATATAAAATACTCTGGACAAGAAAATTTGATAGGGGAAAAATGGAACTATTAGGGAAACTTAATGGTGAAAAGAAACAAAAAACTATATTATAAAATTCTTTTCTTCAGGGAATTATATTGCTTCATAAAATTCTTAACAATTCAGCCTTAGGCTCTCAACTATGACTAGTTAATCTGTTAGCAGTCTTCTTGTGTCTAAACTGCCTAGCTTTTTTGAGATTGGGACCAAAATGTAGGCTCTAATGACTTGATAAGGTTCACTTTTGACCTTGATGAGCTTTGAGCACAAATGTATGATAATTAGTGAATGTTAACTAATCTCCCACCCTACCTAACCTCTTACTCACGTGGCTTGGTTTACGATATTTATAACGCAGAAATAGCTTTTGATCAATATTTGCAGGGTGGGAAAATATGAATAATTTTCTGTTTTGTAAACAGTCTAGATGGACATTTTGCTTCTTAGGAACAATGAATAACATGCCGTAGGAGTGGAAACCAAGAGCAAAGAACTGATTCTGGAAGGCAAAATTTAATCTTAAAGAAATCATGTTTCTGTTATTTTAGGGCAAAAATGATGTGAATTTTAGCAACAATACTATTCGAGGAGGAAAACATTTTTGAATCAGAAAATTG